AAAAAAATAAAAACAAAAAAACACAATTTACTTCATATATAATTTGATTCGGTTTATCATCGATTCGGGTTTACGATAAACGAATAAAATCTATGTCGGAGAAATGTGAAAAATAGCTTCGCTATCTATATCGCTATGGTTAGCTTTTGCTGTGCTATAGGCGTAGAACTCAGTCGTCTTATGACTACAGCAATTTGACTTACTCTAGTGAAATAATTACTAGTAGTTTGCGACGTTTAGACGTGTCTATTTTGTCCTCACTAGTACTAGTAAAACGGCAGTGTTGAATGTTCTGTTACCAATTTCAGGTTAGAGTCACAAGTAAGTTATGTGAAATGCTAACCCTATCTTGATTCACCAAGGTATCTATTTTGAACGGGGTTTATAACTGAGTAGCTTTTGCCCGCGACTATGTCTGAATTATAAAAAAACAATATTGGCTATTTGTTCTTCCAGACTATCTTCTGCATCTATACCAAATTTCATCAACATTCGTTCAGCAGTTTAGGCGACAAACTCTAACCAACATCATTTATAAAATTAATAAATAAATAAATAATCTCACGCTTCCACTTAAAGAAATTACTTCAGTGAAATAATAAAAGCCATATATGTTCCCATAGAACGGAAACTTCCCACATCTGGCTTTATGGGAAGAGGAAATACGTCCACTTCGCGCCCGGAGGAACATCCGTCATACGTCCGGCGACGTAAAGGTTAGAAAAAATCGACTCAAGTAATGTTTAGCGGGGAATCCTTACAAGAATTACCTTTAGCGGTTATGTTCTAAACATTTATACACGCGGGAAAATATTAACAAGTATTAATTTTAATTTATTTAACAAATAAAGACATCTATAAATTTCGATTGCCACAACACAAATACAAACAATTGATAACCATTCTTTAAAAAGTATAGCAATATTATTAGGTATTTTATCTTACTAATATTATAAATTCGAAAGTTTAGATGGATGTTTATTAGAGTTTGTAGCCTAAACTGCTGAACGGATTTGGATGAAATTTGGCATAGATGTAGAGCATAGTTTGGAAGAACACTTAGGCTACTTACTTTTGTTTTTTTTATTCCACGAGAAGGGAGTCGGGGGCGGATGCTAGTGTTTTTTAAGATGGTCGACAACTGTTTATTTTTAAACACATGCTAGCTTTCGCTCGCGACTCTCTTTGCGTGAAATAAAAAAAAAACAAAAGTGAGTAACCTATGTGATCTTCATATTATCCTCTACATCTATACCAAATTTCATCGAATTTCGTTCAGCCGTTTAAGCTACAAACTCAAACATCCATCCATCTTAACTTTCGCATTTATAATATTAGTACGATTAATTCAAAGTGCTTAAAAATTATCACAATAATATTGTAACATCTTAGACCAGTTGTCTTGTGCTCTGCCACGTAATTCCTGGTCTTTTCGTTCTTGCCCCATTCATTTTCTGTCCCCGTGACGTCACGCGGTGTTTCAAGTACCTCTTAAATCTATATAATAAGCAATAAATTCAGTTCGATGTTGAATCAGTTTGTCCCTTTTATACCTATATTGCGTATCGCCGACAGATGTCTGACCTACATTTAGATGTCCATTGATGTCGCACGCTTCGTCTCACAATTTATTGCATTCAATAGACTCATTTGTCCGGAGTCCGGACCGACGTTCCTTGCAAGATTAGTTGTAACGTATTCACAATACAAGGGACATATAGCGTTTAGTTATTGCTAACAAAAAAATTGCGTTTTCTAAACTTAATCTGACACTTCTATATTGAATTTTATATATATAAGTATTATCAATTCTAGAATTAAAACAATTCACCGGATGGGTAGGAAATTAATTTCCTCGACTGTATTTAGCAAATTCTCGTATCAAACCTCGCATTGCAGTGCATTACAAATATCAAGAAATATAAACCCAGTTACCTGTTTCCAATTACTACCAAGGATTAACCGTATTTAGGGGCCCTAAAGACACGATTCCCGCAGTAAATTAACTTTACGGTCAACAAACTAGTGATAAATCACACACACGTCTTGGGGTCCTATTGACCTTAGCGCTAATCGCCCGCCCAGTACTTGGGGCCCTACGAAAAGGGACATATTTACGCTCGTAAAAGTGTGAAATGACTATTTAAAAGTACACGAGATCCTGTTTGGCAGCGAAACAGTCCTTAAAGGGTAAATAATTAGGAGTTATAGAGAATTTTTATTTACATGCTATTACAATAAATGTGCATTTACTAATCTGTTATTCTCGATACTAAGAGCGGGTGCACATCTTAGACTAAACTATCGGACAACTGTTGTCGATTGTCAATTGTTTCGCAGCCAATTGAACTGTTTAGTTGCTCAAAAATCGAGTAGTGTGCGCACCTCCCTTATCAGCTCATAGGAATCAAAGCGACATAGATAGAAGTCAAAGGTGCGCGCGCTCTAAGACCTAAGCATTTGAAAGCAATGTAAAATCTTTATTTTTTATATCTGAATATTATAATTCAGTACAAGAAAATATTTCATAAGCCAATCAATGTTGGCCTCCTTAAATCGTTTTAGCATTGTTTTTCTAAGTTGTATTTATAGTGAAGGCTTTAAAATGCTTCGCAAAGGTTGTCCCGAGGCTGTATTAACGCGAGGTCAAAGTATTGTTTCTTTTGAACGGATTCGCTTGAATGAGCAATGAATATAACTGAAATTACTATGACCGTGAAAATCAACTTTTAAAAAAATACAGAAATACGCAGACGAATTCTGAACCTCCTTTACGAAATAATTTAAAAATACACTATATATTATAACTCTGGGCGATAGTTTGCTAATAAATATTCTATCAGAGTGGGAAGCGAATTAAATTCCCTTAACGTATGAAATTTTTTGAGGAACTATTTTAGTACGTGTTTTTAGTATATTTTACAATGCTGAAAGGACAATCAATGCATTAGAGTTTGTAGCCTAAACTGCTGGATGCTTCTCGATGAAATTTGGCATAGATATAGAGGATAGTCTGGAAGAACACATAGGCTACTTGTTTTTGTTTTTTAATTCTTTATGGACGGAGCCGCCTGCGAAAGCTAGTTTTGATATAAATTGGTCATTTAATAAAACAAAACATGCCATTACTAGTAAAGAAAACGTGCTTAGTTTAGCCTCTAGTCACGTTCTTACTTCGTAGTGGCAGTAACAACTTTTCATATTTGAAAAGTAAATAAACATTTCTACTTAGTAAAAGATACGGTGTAACCTTTTATGGCCACCCCTAGCGTTACAGCTTGTTGGTAAGTGGTAAATAATAATTTTCTTACAAATAATTAGCTAGGTTTAAGCTGCAATGCTATTTCTAAAATATTGTCCAAATACAGTTTATTGCTTTTTTAGTTTTAGTTAAATTTTTGAGAAAGTTTGAAAGTAGCGCCAGTGGTGGAGAAATTGAGAAGCAAAAGGTTAGCGTGGTATGGACATATTATGCGACGAAATGATGGGGACATAAACCAGAAAGTGTTGAGATTGAATGTGGATGGCTACAAAGGAAGAGGAAGACCGAAGAAAGTATGGATGGATTTTGTGAAAGAAGATATGCTTAAGAAAGGAGTGGATTCAGATATGACGGCTGATAGAGATGTATGGAAGAGCAACACATACTGTGCCGACCCTCCATAAGGGATAAGGGCAAGTGGATGATGATGATGAGTTTTAGTTAAATTTTTAGCATTTAATATTTTCAGAAACAATCGAAAATTCTACGATCGTTAGCATTTACCTAGCATATGTTAAAATCTAAGACAATCTAAATTAGAAAATAGTTAAAATATCCAAGTAAACTGGTGCAGTATTAAGTAACCAGCGTCTGCGCATGCTGCAGTCATTGCGAGACGGCGACAGTCCGCGATTCGTCCCGCGCTGCCACTGTGAAGCGTAACTAGGATTATTTGTGGCCATGAAACTAGCGTTTGTCTATTTATTACTAACTGTCGCCTTTGACTACGTCCTTGTGTAATTAAAAAAAAGTAAGCCGCCTGTGTTCTTTCAGAGTTTAATAAAAATTTCAAAGAAATTCAATCGTTTAGGTAAATTCTTAATAAATTATTTCCATCAAAACTTTAGCATTTGTAATGTTAGTAAGATAATAAAAAATAACACCGACCACAAGTCACGGTATATGACAATATTTGTGTACTTGTACTCGTAGATAGCTAAAAAAATCAATAGAACTTGACTGAACAAAGTTGGTACTTTGACCTTAAATGCGTAAACTCTTAAAACTAAATGTTTTAAAAGTATTTCTACTCTATATCTTATATTCTTATTAGCCAGTATATTTCATAGCCACAATTTCCACTGTGACAAACGTGACGTAAGCGTGCCTTGCGTTACGCAACGCACTTTGCCGTTCTTTTGCTTTTAACATTCCGCGTTCTGCCTCATTTCATACAGAAATCGATTTTGCTACTGCATTATCCTTTAAAATCGATTTCTTATAATCGCCACATTCTTGTCGATAGAGTATCAAATTACCGCTATTCTATTTTTTTCTATGTAACGTAATGGAAATGATTAAAATTAATTTGCTCGTAGTAATTAAACATTTGCCATCACGTCAGCTGTCGTGTGACGTCATAGTTAATGCGACAGTTTGTCTAAACATGAATACTGCGGCATATATTGTTTACAAAGACAAATCAAATACAAAACTATAAAATCAGTAGGAAGTTTATAGTTTTGTATTTGATTTATATTTATTGAGCAGAAATAAAATAAAGTTGTGCAACTGCTGCCATCTATGTCCACTTTTAATAAAAATACAGCAGTAGTGTTACACGCATTTTGTCAAGAGATGGCGTTCGGAGCTAAAAAATACTTCTCTTGAAATATTAATATGTGACTGCGTATTTGTAGCTTTTAATTAATACATACACATAATAACATAATTAAATACTCACGTATTTTTCAAAAAATAATTCTAAATTCTAAGCCAATATATTTCTTTTTTGCAGATTCGTTCGTCAACAGTCAAGAATGGACGGCATCAAGGGGTGTCACAGAGTTACGAGTAGGAGTGTTAGGTTCTCCGGACAGCGGGAAATCAGCTCTGGTCCATCGATACCTCACCGGGGCGTATATGCAAGAGGAAAGTCCAGAAGGTATGATTTTATAACTTGTTTATTGATATCCTATTAAGATGGTCGGGAATAGGATAGGAAAAATTAACGAATTTATATTTCGATCCATTTACCATAATTTTTGAATAGGTTTTGCATCATTTATTTTAATTGGAATGTCACAAAAACTTTTGTTTTCAAAAGCGCCATCTCTTATCATAAATGGTTAAAACATATAGAGCGTTAACGTAGTAATTCTAATACTGTTCCCTAGATGGCGTTGTAATAACTTTTAATTCCACTTATTTTTCAAAGCAAAATCGAAATCATAGATGTAGCGGTAAGCCAGTTATATTTTTAATTCTCAGGTGGTCGTTTCAAAAAGGAAGTTATAATCGACGGTCACAGTTATCTCCTGCTTATAAGAGATGAAGGTGGACCTCCAGAGATGCAGGTAAGATGTTTCACAAATAGTTACATATCCTAGAGATATTTAGTGCCATGTAGTAGACAATGATAAAAAAAATTACACAAAGGCATCTGTTTACCTATAATCAATTTTATTACCCAGATTAAACAACGGCATTATTAAGGTTTACAAAAAAATACTTTTATGAATTTATGTACTTCTGTTTCTACAATGTTTTATTTTAACATTGACCCAAGACGAGATGAAATACGAATTACTGTTAATTTATCAAACATAAATTAAAAAAAAACTTTTCTGTGCTTATATAATAGTTATTTTAACGTGACATATTTCAATGGAAACAGTGTTACGATGCGCCTATCGATTCCTTTGTAAAGGGGAAACTCCTTATAAACCCTTTGGGGTACTCACCGCCGCTGCGACATGCGACCTGCGAAGCAATTGTCATTGTTGCTAACAGAATATTTATAATTTACCCCAAAAAGAAAAATCATTTATCTACAGGGCATCTGTCTCTGTTCTTTGAAAGCTAGTGAGAGGGATCTAATACTCTAGGGTGGGCAGCTTTCCACTTTCCCGCGTTTTATGACTAAATGACAAAAAAATTGGAAAAATGATGATATCATCTTGTGACTTTATTTAAAAAAAATTCTAAAACCCTAATTTAATTTGTAGTCGCAGAAAAAAGCTAGTAAAATTATATGAAATCTTGGAACAAAGAGTAAATGTTATTCGAAGTTCGAGGGCCGTATAAAGTTTCACGTGTCGGGCGTCTGTTACTAAGGCAGCGCCCTCTAGAGTGCTTTCTATTCAACGGTAGACGTAAGAGAATTTTTGCGATTTATTGGATTTTCGAACCTTGAATGGAGTGTTTCGTCTACATGAACGGTGAATGACATTTTAAGGGCTATTCACACTAGCAAATTGAGAACGTATTAAATATTCTTATACGTAAATGCTTATCTTTTTACACACATATAACTAGTTATTGTAACTATGTAGGTGCTTTTGCTTTTATTTTCCAATATCTAGAGGAGAATAGTAGGGAACAATTTTCCAGCATAAATTTCGCAATAATTCCCGTAGAGATATTTCGTGTAATGAAAGACTTCAATTTTGTTTAATTTGCCTAATACTGGCTTATAAAAATCTTAATAATTAAATTTGATTTTCTAACGGATTTTGACGATATCTTACTTTTTTCGAAAATAAATATGGCAATTTCGTTCGCAGTAATTCGCAGTGAAAACCTACAATAAGTTTCATATAAGTTTCCGAACAATGCTGCGACGCTGTTTACAATATGGAGGTTCGGGTTTCGATTACGTGTTTAATTAAAGTACGATTGCTATCGCCATCTGTTGGCTGTTTGCACAAACCTTCATATTTACTTTGTGTCGAATTACTTGATCAAAGTTTATTTACATTAACTTGACAGAATTTCTCTTACTTTACTATTTAGTAGGTTAGTATTTTAATATTATTAGGATCCTTTAAGTTACTTATTTCTTGTTATTAATTTAATGACTAGAATTTGTCGAGTAAAATAGATTTTAAATTCCTTTAACCTACTTTTAAAATAATAAATTCCAACATGGGATTAGCGTATAACACTTAAAACTCTACACGTGTATACTTTCCAAAATAACTTTTTTTAAATGTTTTTTTTTTCATGTGTTTGACAAAAAGCAATAAACGTAACCTCGTTTCCTACCAATTGACCGTGTGATTGTGACCCGCAAGCAACCGACGGTAGAGACCGGGGTGGAGGCTTAAAGTTCGCAGGGGGTTAAGAATTTCTGCCGTATTTTCTACTCCCTTTGATGTCTATATTAAAAATGTAGCTTTTTTAATTATTTCTTTCTATATTACTTTTTATTATTTAGACGCGACGTGATTAATTTTTTTTAATAATTTGTTTGACTTATTCCGGAAAAAAATTTAAATTAGTTTTCCATTAATAATGCAGTTTTTTGTATAGCTAATCTATTATAATAAAGCGTAAACACACACTACTTTGTTGCCTAAGATGTCAGCAATTACAGCATATTTTTGAACAATTCTTTTTTTAATGAAAAGCCTTACACTTGCGTCACGCTTTAGGCTATATATTTTCACACCATTAAACTTAGGGGGTAAATTTGGACAAAAACCCTAATGTGGGAAAGAGACCATCAGTTGCTGCCAACATCAAGGAAGCAAGATTGCCAAGGTCATTTTGACATTTGCTTTCAATATATTAATAACATTTTCATAATATCATGCGGATGAAGCCGCACGGGAACAGCTAGTATTAATAATAATAATAATTAAAGTTATCACTTTTTTATTTTATCCAAAAAAATATATATAAAAAAAAGCATGGGTTTGCGGTAAAAGCTACAAAATTTTGTATATATTACTTTTTACTGTTATCGGTAGGTCGTAAAAGTTTATATTTTTTATTCCGACACATATAGGCTGTAAAAAGGACCACGGATGACATCTTTGCACGTCTTAAGGGAGGTTTATTAAGGGCACGTTTTGAGGCTTTCAGCCCTTTGCGAGACGACCCACATTACTGAAAAAAAGGTATCTCGCCCTCTGAATTTTTAATAATCCTGTGGATAAAGGAGGATACCACGTTAGGAAATTACGTTTTCGATAAAATTCAATTTGATATTCTCTTATTTAGAAGTATGACAATTCAATGGGTTAATAAAATAAAACACTGCAACAGACTAAAAAAAGTTTTACATTAAACTGGCTGTTGCTTGAGACATTACGTGGAATTAAAAAAAAATAATAAAAAACGATAAAGTTTATAGTTAAATACTAATTAGACTAAAGTTCGACTACAACTTTGTATACAAATATAACTGATTTGAGTATTACAGCGTGAAATATTGATGAACCCTGCCGACCCCTGCCGCTGTGCTACAAAGAATATTTAATACACATTCGATCGTCCACACCAATTTGTCAAAGAATAAACATTCAAATGTGAACTTATTTTAATATTCGACCACACTTTTTGTTTGTATCTCACTCTAACTACATAATTTTCTTTGTGATTTTCATACTGGAACATGGCAGTAGCAAGCGGCTACCTTTATTGCTAAAATAGTAATATTCGCTTTATTTATGGACTAAGTTAAATGTAACACAAATCTCTAATCTGCCTCCTAAAATACACAAGTTGTAGTTTTAAAGAGTTGGTAAAACGTATAAGAAATTGGACGTTTTTCATTTAGGCATAAAAGTAACTATGGTTTTAGATCGTTAGTCTTTGACAGGTCGGTCGTCAAAGACTAGACAGTGAATGGTATATAGCGTGATTGTATGTTTTTAATTTCTTTAATACATCGTAAATGAATATAATCCATCAGTCATTAGTTGGGCAAATGGACACAATGTCTAAACTACTAATAAAACGAAATAGTGTATTTTCATTAAAAAATCCAACAATGCTTTGACATATACGTATTTTAACATATACCATTTTTTGACCGACTTCCCAAAAGAAGGAGGTACTCAATTCGTCTGTATGTTACGGCATAATTCCGCCGCTAGTGGACCGATTTTGATAATTTTTTTTATGCTTTAACATAGATTTAATTAATAGAACTGCATTTAAATATGTAAACAGGCATTAATATTTTTCCGTCAGCGAATTGTTTTACAATATTAATTACATTGATGTTTTTAACCTGAATTAAAATTGACTACTTGCGAAATATTATATTCTCGGTATATTAGTACTTCATACGTTTTTAAAAAACATACTATGACGTGTTTAAAAACACTATATGACATTTTATGAACATCAAAAGTAATTTTTAGTCATATTAGAATATTAAGTCGACACTATTATCTTACTAATATTATAAATGCGAAAGTTTAGATGGATGTTTTTTAGAGTTTGTAGCCTAAACGGCTGAACGGATATCCATGAAATTTGCAAGAGATAGATTATGGTATGGAAGAACACATAGGCTACTAAGATTTTTTTTTTAATTCCACGCGGACAGAATGCTGGCGAAAGCTAGTTATTAATAAGAATAATAATCTCGACATTTCTATATCGTTTACTCAGACTAAGGGTTTGTCCCACCACCGGATGATAGCTTAAAAATGACGTCACTGTCAGATTTCCCATATTTCCATTACATATTTTACACATTACATTGTTATCAGACAATTTATAATTTGGTGGGACAGGCCCTAAAGCATAGATGTTGTTTAACTAAAGATATGTAATGGTTATTTACAAAGATGTAGGAGGCCCCAGAGCCGCAAATATCAAAACGTTATATTAATTAATATCTTGCTATTTATTTAGATAACGACGAAATATTGAAACGATTCTTAAATACTCCGCTATTTAAATACTTACAATCGGATAGACGTTAAAATGTGTAATGTGAATAGTTTAAGTGCGGGCACCTTTGACTAAACTATCGCACAACTGTTGTGCGATGGTTTAGTTGCACAACTAAAGAGTAGTGTGCGCAGCTCCATATAAGCTCATAGGAATCAAAGAGAGACAAAACAGTTGTGCGATAGTAAGTCAAAGATGTGTGTGCGTTCTAAGACGCTGTTATATATGTAAATGACATTTCAATAATTTAAAAAAAAATAGAGTTAATTACAGATGATTATTTCGATAAATGAACTTCCATAGACTAGCAGTGATTATGCTAAGCTTCATAGAAAAATGGTCACGAAATGTTGCAAAACAAGTAATTTGCTAAACGATGGGAAAATGTTTGGAAACTGGCTGTTATTTCGAAACATTGGAACTCTAATATATACTAATTAAAAAAAAATACTTATTACGACTATCGAACGAATTTAAAATTGACTCCGAAATAGATAAACTAAATCGAAATAGGTAAACTTTTTTAATCTACATAGTTTAACCTCTTTAGTCGAGACACTGGCCACTGAACTTTCGTAAAGGTCTTTCTAAATTTAACCTTTATCAAAGGATTTTCGGCCTCATCATTCATGAATTTAAAAAAACGTCATCTGTAGTTTTTTAA